CCAAGGACTACCACACTGATCTTACTAAACATTAATCTAAAATGCTCCCGGTTAAAGTCCCTAAATATCTTCAGTTGCTATCAGTTCGACAACAGAAACAGTTCCTTGTCTAGCGCGTCCACTCTCTGCCATCATCTTCTTTAATCCCTCATTGGATCATTCAGCTGTAACCAGTGCTTCAGACACAAATGGTGTGTTCTAGAAGTAGAGACTTGGCTTTTCTTCTTCAACTGTGCCACGCAACAAATTCTCAGTGTAGGTCTTGGTGTGAAAGTTGTTTTTGTCCTTTAAGATCTTGCCTTTTATATCATTCTGTTTGTCCCATCTGTGGTGCTTATCTTTTTTCATATTGTGTGTTTTTTTTCTTCTTTATACTATTTGTTGTGATTCTACATTATGTGTACACCAACTTTTGGGGGGGCGGGGCACAAGACCAGTTTTAAAAAAATTATCTTACCCAATGTATCCATAAGTAAGAAATATTCACAAATCATCATTTCTAGTTACTTTTTCTTTGTGATTGTTTGATAGAAACAAATGTCATGAGGAAAGATTTAATTTGGGCATGGTTTTTAAGGGTTTCAAGTCCACAATGAGAGGACAGGCATGGTGAAGCAGCAAAATTCAAAGTGTTCTGATTAACCAATTGAGTGGTCATAACTTATGCATGTGGATGGAGTCACAGTTTTGTACAGAGGGGACAAAAGGTTAAAGGTGATTCTCATGGCCTTTTTTTGGTACAAACATTAGAAACTGAGTGAATGTATTAGAGCATGATATATCCACTCTGGGAAGTATGATACATCTGTGTGGATAGACCTGACAGCTGTCTTTGAAGTTACTAAGTAAATAATAATTTATTCCCTCCTACAATCTAAAGAGAAGCAATATTGAAACCTGGGTTTAATGTACATGTAGAATGATGTTATTAAATTGAGGTCTAAAAGCAGAATCTGAAAAATTACTGATAAAGACTAACACTGGCTGACTTCAGGAAGAGCTGTGGGGGAGATACATGTCTTTGTATGTTGTTTTAATTGCATATGCTTTGGATAATATTGTCTTTATTTCTAATACTCAGTTTTGGGTATACTTCTGATATAGGAGGAAAAATATGAGAAGATCTCTCATGGCTGAACTCAATTAATTCAGAATTGATGTTAATACAAACCTACTGTGAAGAGGAAATGGCTTATAAATGCCACCATATATTCTGGTTATATCCATAATTAATTAATCCAGTGTGGATTTAGTGGGTACCTGCTAGATGACAGGGACAGGGTCTGTGCTAAGATGTGGAGCTATAGCAGTGAATAGAAAAGTGGTACTCCCTACTTTATAGAGCAAACGGCTTAGTGAAGTCACAAAACATGTCAAGAGCAGGCCAAAGGAGAGTGAATTAATGGATGTCAACTGTGAGCATCTCCTAATATTTGTTCTTTTACACAAATGTACTTATAGTTAAGCAGGAGAAACAAAGGCAATCTTATACAAAGGTTAGGACTGATCTTTGATGAGACAAAGCAAGTTAAATAATCAGTATAAAGACAGGAAAGTTTATGGGATGTTGGTTTTAGGAACTGTATCAATTCATTTGGCTTTCCATAAAAATAAGAAAATTGGGTTAAACGACGGGCATCTATTTTCCAAAGTTCTAGAGGTATAGAAGCCCAAGACTGAGGTGTTAGGTGATTTAGTGTCTACTGAGAGTTTTCTGCATCTCTGAAGTCACCTTTTGCTATGTGTTCACACGTGATGGAGGAAGATAATTTTTTTGCACTAGTTTTATCAGGTGACATTCCTACTGGGTCAGGGCTTCATGACTTTGTTGTACCTTAGCCATATGCTAGTGAACTGATCTTTGGATCAGTCACATAGTGAGGTGGGGCTTCAATATATGAATTTGGAGGTACATGGTCTATCCATAACATGGGCCCACATGAGTTAAAGAACGGACATAGAATTGCACTTCTCAAAGGAGTATTTCTATAGGAGATAGATATTTCAAGTTTGACGGCTTAGCTTTGATTGCCCTCCCTAGTGTGAACCACATACTGTCACAGGACACTTCCAATACATTTCCTTTAGTCCTCACAACAGCTACTACAGCATCCTCATTGTTGTGGAAAACTGATTCTCCATATTGCATGCTTCTTTACTAGAATCAACTTCCTTGTAAAATTATTGATATATACAAAGGATGCTTTAAAAAAATATTTCCTTATTTTAAGCATGCCTGCAGAGACATTGAGTGAAGTGCAGAGTTAATGGCTTAACTGTGGTACTTAGGATGCCAGTTCAATGTGTCCTGATGGTACTTAAATCCAATATTGGTGCGGGAGAATTGTCTGTATTCTGTCAATCATGTTTTAAATAAACGCTGATTGGCCAGGCAAAAGGTGTAGGTGGGAAAACCAGACAGGAAGTGGAAATGATGCAAGGAGAGCAGGAGGAATTCTAGGGAGGAGGAAACTGATTCCTCCACTCCTGCCCAGACCTCCGAAGCAGCAGAATGTAAGCTGCCCCACTGAAAAAGGTACTGAACCACATGGCTAACATAGATCAGAAAAATGGGTTAATCAAGATGTGAGAGTTAGCTAATAAGTAGCCTGACCTAAAGGGCCAATCAGCTTTATAAATTATAGAGATTTCAGTGTGATTTTTCTCAGAAAAATGGGTTAATCAAGATGTAAGGGTTAGCTAATAAGAAGCCTGACCTAACGGGCCAATCAGCATTATAACTTATAGAAATCTCTTGTGTGAGTTTTCTCTGGGACTAAACAGCTGGGGGGCTGGGAAGGACAGAAACACAAACATATTACACAATATGAACAAACATGACTTTCTACAACTACTTTGATATGTGTAGTTCTGTTTCCTGGTGAATGGTCAGACTTTAAAACATGTTATCATAATGGTTCAGGATTTGGGTAGAATTTTTAAATGAAGATGTATCCAAGTAATGGCCATTTTAATGATTTTGCAAAAACATGAGGTTCATGAATGCAATTTAGGATTCTATTTCTAGGCACTGCATAAAGTTTGCATGACTATTTTCAGAAATAAGAATGATTGTGTCTTCCAGATAGTTCTTTTTTTAAAAAAATGATTTAATTCTTATACTGAAAAAAATTTTTTCTCTTATAAAAATATGCCAGTTTCTCCTCTCCCCATTCTTACTAGCTCCCCCTTCCCCTTTCCCTCGGATTTACTCTGTTTCCTCTTCAGAAAAGACCAGACTTCCAAAAGACTACAGCCCAACAGGGAAACAACAAGATGCAATAAGTTAATGCGAAAGCTCTCATATTGAGAGTTCTTAAGGACCAAGATACTTATGCATACATCTATATGCATATATTATATATTATACTTTGAATAGCTAGTTTTTTCTCCACACCTATTCGGTAGACCCTCTGCACTGATTCTTATTCCCAGCAATTATATTTTCTTTTTAAAGATTTTCCTTTTGTGGTAAGGATGTGTGTGAGCTTTAGAAAAGTATTTATTTCTCTACTTTAGATTTTCACAAAATAATCTTTAATCCAAGATCCCTGGCTTGATTTCAGGAGTTCAAATGTGTTTCCACTATAGGTAAATATGCTTCTTAAGTAACTGTCCTAAATGGTTTCTTGTTTTCAGGGAAGGTATTTTGTTGAATCTTGCCATGGTACATCAACCTAAAGCACAGGATGTTCTGAAGAAAATCTGAGCTTTCGTGTGAATTAGAGGCCTTCCAAACAGTCCTTTCTCTGACCAGATTCAGCCCTGTCTCTAAGGACCAGGCTTCCTAAGTAGGAGATGGCTACATTTCCACATCTGGGCAATGTGTTGCACAGCTCAGTCTAGCTGTCATGCCGTATTGCTTGCTTTGACTTTTGTTCACTTATAGAAAGTAACACAAATGATTCTAAGACTAATTATGTAACGGAGCTCAGTGAGTTGATGAATAATTTTGGAACTATTTCAATTCTTGCTAATGTTTATACAAATACATAAAAGTAGGGAAGGGGGTGGATGTTTTGGTTTGAGGTGTAAGATTTGGGCGATCCAGCAATTGATGGAAGCAGATGCAGAGAACAGCAAAGAACGGGGCTGAGCTCCCAAAGTCCAAAGCGAGGGAAGAGTGATAATTTGAGCAAAGGGGTCAAGATCATGATGGGGATACCCACTGAAATAACTTACCTGAGCTAATGGGAACTCACTGACTCTAGACTGACAGAGGGGAACCAGCATAGGACCAAACTAGGTCCTCTGAATGTGGGTGACAATGATATGGCTGGGCACTCTATGGAGCCACTGGCGGTGGGACAGGATTTATCCCTACTGCTTCAACTGGCTTTTTGGAGCCAGTTCTCTTTGGAGAGATACCTTGTTCGGCCTAGATATAGTGGGGAGGGCCTTGGTTCTGCCTCAAAGTGATGTGCTAGGTTTGGTTGAATCCCCATGGGAAGACTTACCCTCTCTGAGGAATTGATTGGGGATGGAGTGGGAGAAAGGGGGAGGGAGCAGGGCAAGGGGAGGGAGTGAGGACTGGAATTGGTATGTAAAAATGAGAAAATAGGTTTTTTAAAAAGTAAATTAATAAATTAAAAAATTAAAAATTTTGTTGATTAAAGTCCACAGTCCCTAACAATCTTTAATTTCTTTAAGGATAACGGAGTCCTGGACTTGCTTTTTTGGAATGGGCTAAAAATCTTCTGGGTAGAAAGAACATGTTATTCTAATTTTTCTCTACCTTGAAACCAGCCTGGTCATTCGATCAGAGTGCATTCTGGGTGAATATTTATGAAGTAGTTACAGAAGAGTTTAAGAATTCCTAGTATAAATCAGGTGAAACTAACTCTTCCACGGTGTACAGCCTTCAAATGGAATGTGTTGTCACACTAATTAATTAGGAGGGTGCACACGTCGGGTCTCTGATTTTCCTTCCTGACATTTCTCTCGTTTACTACAGCCATCACTGTTCCTTTCCTAAGCCTTTGTTCTGCTCTTTCTTGCAGTTTCTCCTCACAATTCCAACGTCATTATAGGTGAGTCAGCTTGGAAACGAATTTTGATTGAGATGCCAGAAACAGATTTTGGAAAAAGGAGACTTTTCAACAACTAGTCTTTGGACGATTAAATGTACTCACATGAAGAAAGATGTAGATCTGTTGTGTGTACAATTGTGTATGTATTCTGTGTGTGTTGCAGGTGCATCTATTAGTGTAAATTTGTGTGTGTTTGCATGTGTATATGTGTGCCTACTGTGTGAAGTACATATGTTTTCCTGTGGGAGTGTTTATATATATATATATATCCATGGAAATGTATATATCCATGAATATATATGTGTGTGTGCATGTGTGTGTAAGTACATATGTGCATTGTACATGTGAAAGCGTGTTTGTATATGTGTGTGCATGCAAGAATCTGTGTGAGCATATGCGTGTGTATATATGTTCACATGTGCATATGAGAGTACTGAGAGATGACAAGAGTTTTTGCTTCTGTTCTGTCATCCATTTATCACACTAGAGACTGTCTGTCATTGAATTAATCTGATTATTGTTGATAAGGAAGCTTGGGTAATTATTTTTTGATCTGACCTCAGATTCCATGGTACAGAAGGCAGAGAGAGCTCTGTTCATTAGCACTCAACAACTGTTGTGAAGTAGAATATTTGTTTATGTAAAGATGTGTTGCATTTGTTTGTACTGCAGAATAGTTGTTTAACTGTGTAAAGATGTGTTGCTTTTGTTTATGCTGTACTTGTTTAATTATGTAAAGATGTGTTGCTGTTTCACCTTGCCTGCCTACTGCACCTGATTGGTCTAATAAAAAGCTGAATGACCAATAGAGAGGCAGAGGAAGGGATAGACAGGGATGGCTGGCAAGGAGAAAAGGGGAGATAGCCAGCCAGATAGGGGCAAACTAGCTAGGGTCCATCCAGCCAGACACAGGGGAAACAGGGAAGCAGGATGCACAGTATGTAGACGAGGCAAATGACTCTTGGGGGGCAGCATATAGATTAATAGAAATGGATTAATTTAAGTTGAAAAAGCTAGCTAGAAACAAGTCTAAGCTGAAGCTGAGCATTCACGATTAATAATAAGCCTTTGTATCTCGATTTGGGGCTAGTGGTTCAAGAAAGCCTTTTACAAACATCTATTTAAAAAGATAACCCTTTCTAAGTAACAAGGGAAGACAAATGCCTCCATATGAAATGACCAGGTAAAAGATTTTCTAAGGAATTTGACTTTAATGTTTAAATTTGAGAGCACATAATAGCATACTCTTTGGCTCCCATTATTGCTCAGGGATCAGACTGAAGGAGGGTCACCACCCAGCTCCATGCCTGGTACATGTCATTACTATTGGACAGAACAGTATGACAAGCAATTAGGACTTGGCAGGGGCTGAGACAGCAAAGCAAATCGTTCAGGAAACTTGGGCACTGGCCACAGAATTCATTGCCATTACAATGTATGAAAGACAGAGTCCACTGGGAAAGTGATTGGAAAAAACCCCACATGTACAGCTTGTCTCTTCTCACACCACCCTGCACCTCATTGCCTCATTGCCCAGCAACAATATGCACAATATCTGTGCCATAACCTCTCTCTCTCTCAATGCATTCAACAGATGTTTTCTGAGTACTTGTATGGAAAGTACTTCACAGAGAAATGGGGAAATAGGAATAAAAAGGATGATGACTAGATGTGGGATTTATAATAGAATGCTGATTGTGGGGAGAACCGAGACAGAAAATTGTGGAAGGCTTTCTATATTAAATAGTTCATAAACTAAAGACACATTCGAACTGAATTGACTGTTAAAGGTATCAAAGATGAATAAAATTCAAGAGCAAATTTCTAACAGCAACAGGCCATATATCAGTGACAAAAAGTAGACACTTACTGGGTAAATCTGGGACTTTTGAATATAAAATACTAGACTGTAAAGAATTAACAAAAGAAAAAGTAGTGATCTTTTTATTCATCTTGATAATAAATAACTCCAGCAATTTATTGACGCCGTGGGGTCCCTCATAGAAATTTTTGTTATATTTTTAACTGTGTGTATATACGTGTATTTGGTTGTGGGGATGTATCTGTGCGCGTATAGGTGCCCAAGAGTTCAGAAGAGGGCACTATTACCTAATTAATTAATGTACAAGACTGTACTAATAATGAACATTTTCTAGTAAATATGGAATTGGAAGATCACCATTTTGTAATCATAATAGAATCTTATATGAAAAGTTCATTAATTCAAGACTTAATCTAGTCAGAAATTGTTAAAAGCAATAATCTATTATGTGTGTGTGTGTGTGTGTGTGTGGTGTGAATGTGTATGGTATGTGTGTTTGTGCATGTAGTGTTTTGTATGTGTACCTGTTGGGGGGAGGGTATGCATGTGTGTTTATGATGTGTATTTGTGGTATGTGTGTGTGTTTGTGAGTATGTGATATGTGTGAGTGTCTGATGTTTGTGTAAATGTGTGGTGTGTATCTGTGGTGTGTGTGAGTGTGGTGTATGTGTGTGTGTGGCATGTGGAATATATGGTGTATGTATAGTGTGTACGGAGTGTATATGTAGTATTTGTATGTGTGTAGGGTTTGTGTGTATATGTGATTGGTGTGTAGTATGTGTATGTGTGTGTTTGTTGCTCTGTGTGGTTTGTGTGTTGTATGTATTTCTGTATGTGTGTATATATGGTATGTGTGTGGTGTGTATGTGAGATGGGTAACTTGTGTGTGTGCTATGTACTGTGTTTATGTGTGCTGTAACATGACGGCTGTCTTGTTGGGGTTTCTGTCCTGCCCCGTACCCCACAGCCGGCAACTCCCAACGAAAATCACACACAGGTTGTTACCCCATTATCCTTATCTATATTAGCCACACGAGCTCAGTACCTTTCTCAGTGTGACAGCTTACATGCTGCCTCTTTGGTGGTCTGCGCAGGAATGGTTGAGGAAGCTTTCTCCTCCCTAGCCTTAGCCTATTCTCATTGCTCCGCCTCTACTTCCTGTCTGGTTGACCCACCTATACTTTCTGCCTGGCCAATCAGCGTTTTATTAAAATACATGATTGACAGAATACAGATAATTCTCCCGCACCAGTATGTGGCATTTATGGTGTGGTGTGTCTGTAGTGTGTTGTGTGTTGTGTGAGTTTGTATGTGTGGTAATTGAGTGATATGTGTGTGTGGTGTGCATGTGTGGTTTGTATGTGTCTATGTGTTTGGTCTGTATGTTGTGTGTGTCTGCATTGTGTATGGTGTGTATATGTGTGGTGGTGTATGTGGTGTTTTTTGTGAATGTGTATGTGTGTGTGTGGTGTATATGTGTGTGTGTGGTGTGTATGTGTGGTATGTGTATAGTGTGGTGTGTGTGTTTGTGTTGAGTATGCATCTGTGGTTTGTGTGTTGTATGTGTCTGCATGTGTGTGTGGTGTGTATATGTGTGGTGGTGTATGTGGTGTTTTTGTGGATGTGTATGTGTGTGTGTGGTGTGTATGTGGGTATGTGTATAGTGTGGTGTGCGTGGTTTGTGGTATGTATGATATGTGTATGGTATATGTTTGTGTGAGTGATGTGTGTGTCTGTGTGTAAAGTGTGTGTATATATGTAGTATGTGTGTTTACATGTGTGATATTTTGTATATGTACCTCTTTGTATGTGATGTGTGTGGTTTATGGTGTGTATGTGTGGTTTGTGCATAGTGTGTGTTTGTGAGTATGTGGTATACACATGTGTAGTATGGTATGTGGGGGATACAGAGTGTATGGTATTTATGGTATTTGTGTATTTGGAATTTGTAGTATGTACATGTATAGTGTATTTAAGTACATGTTGTGTTCATGGTTTGTGAGTATATGTGTGTTTATATGTGGGTGTGCTTGTGTGTGGTATGTGTGTGGTATTTGTATGGTATATATGTGTTTGCATGTGGTAAGTGTTTGTGTGTGCATGTATGTGTCAAGTGTTTGTGTGGTGTGTAAATATGTGTAGTATGTTTGCTTGCATATATATGCTATTTTATATATGTGCCTCTGTGTATGTTAATGGTATTTGTGTTGTATGTGTGTGTGTTTGTGAGTGTGTGGTATATGTATGTCTGGTGTGTATATGGTATGTGTGTTGTGTGGCATGTATATGGTGTGTGTATATGTGGAGTGTTTAGTGAGTGCTGATGAATGGTATGTACTTGTAGTATTTGAGTAGGCTGTGTGTAGCTTATATATGTCTGGTGTATGTGGTGTGTGTGGGTGTCGTGTATATGTGTAATGTGTATGTATATTGATTGTATTTGTGGTAGTGTGTGTATAAGTGTTGTATGTGATTAGTATGTTCGTTGTGTGTGTCTGTGTTTGTGGATGTGTTTGGTATATGTGGTGTTTGTGGGTGTGGTGTATATTGGCATTGATTGCATTTGTAGTTGTGTGTGTGTTATGTGTTTGTATGTGTGTTGCATATGTTTTTTTGTGTTTAGTATGTTTGTGGTATTTATTTGTGTGTGTCTGTATGTGTGAACATGTTTGGTGTATATGGTGTATGTGGTGTGTATTGTGCATGTATATGTGTTTATGTGTGTTGTGTTTGTATGTGTGGTATATGTGTTGTATGTTGTATTCATGTGTCTGGTGTGTGTGTTTTGTATATGTATGTATTATAGGTTTATGTGTGTATATTTTGTATTGTGTAATGTGTATAGGTTTGTATTTTTGTGTATGTGCATTGTGTGTGTTGTGTGCATGCGTATTGTATATGCATTGTGGTGTGTGTATGTGTGCACGTGCATGTGCATGATCATGGGAAGAATCATCAAAGTGGAGGTTGTAGAACAACCTTCATGCTCTACTGAAGGACAAAAAGCAAGGAGACCCTTCTACCATCACCTGAAACCTCTGAAGCCAGTCAACCAGAAACAAACTTTCTTTTGGATAATATCCTCAGGCATTCTGTCACAGTAGCAGTGAGCTGACTAGCACAGAAGAGACACAAACCTTACCCAGGGAGGAGCTGCTGGAGACTGTAAGCTCAGTTATTTGGAATAATCACGTGTCAGGGACTGGTTTGTTTCCTTCATCCAGATAAGGCCTGACCCCGGAGAAGGGGAGCACATTTTCTC